TGCAGGCCGCATCGGGCACAGCTGATCTCTGGACCGGCAATGGCAGTGACAGCTGCTAATACAAGCGATCGAGCGTCTCTAGAGACGCCTGATCGCTTGAATGTAAAGCTTTCGGCTGGCCGTGTAATTACAACGGCCGGCCGGGAAGCTGCTCGTCGGGCTCTGCCTTCCTCTCGTCACAGACGAGCAGACGAGTGGATTTTTCAAGCCCTGGTCATGATTCAAGTTAAATTGCGTGTTATGCGAATGAACCCTTACAGTTTTGGTCTGTAAAACATCAAATTACTCTCTCTGGCACAAACTGGAATGTACAAAATTTGTAGTTTCTGATCAATGCAGCATCTTTATTTGATCAAACTGTAGGTGCTTCTACATGTTTTTTTAATGAAAACCAACTGCCAGAAAATGGTGGAAAAAGTGTGGTAAAAATCCATGAATGGGAATTTACTAAGACTGAATCAGACGGAATCTGGAGCAGGAGCAGTTGTCCATGGCATCAGCTTTTTCCTGATCATCTCCATTAGTTTCAAAGACATAACTTTTTACCGTGAACAGTGTCACAGGGTACTTGCTGTGGCATCTGAGAACTGCGCCAATCTCTGCTTAACATAGCAGAATGCTCTCAGTTCTTTTGCTCAAGTAACTGGTGCCTCTTCTTCCAGTGTTTTGCATGCAAAAGCTTCGATGCACAGTTTTCAAATAAGCATGACAATGTTGCTGAAAGACCCCTTCTAACAAAAGGGAATGACTGTGCATACAAAATGTATAGACTTCTTGGGCCGATGGGTATAAATAGGAAAAGAATAGCTATATCACTTTGCTCCAATCACATATCAATCTCTTTTTACTGACATGGGCTAGCTCCCTTATTTGTCTAGGCATACATACAGTTCTTCCCATGATCTGTTCATTGTTATCTCCCTAAATCTTGATAATTAATTACCCCCATAAAACACAAAACTCACATGTAGACTAATCATCTTCTTAAGGTGAAACCTGTGAGGATAGAAATATGGGAGCTGCCATTACTTGTTTCTAAAGTCCAATTTCACTTTCGATTTAGCTAAAGACATTGAAGGTGCATCAAACCAGAAGGTGTACAAAGTCTTTGTTTGTTTTCTTTAGAAAGCAGCTACAGCTTGAGCAGAATAGCCTGTGCCCTGCTACCTTAATGTTGAGAAGGACACTTGCTCTCTGTATGGAACTAGTGGTCTCTCTGCAGAGGTATGATACGTTCCTGCCGAGCCAGAGCTAGAGTTCTGTAGTCAGTAGGAAACATGAGCTTTGCTGACTACAGGGCTATCCTTGCATTCCAAAGAAAATTAGCTGTAAGACTTTTCACGCCTTTTCTTTTGATACACATGAAATGTATTTAGATTAAATCAACTGAAAGTTCATTTGGGCTTTAAGGTGCAGACTTTGGGGCTATCCTCTTAAACCTGGCTTAAACACTTAGTCAGTAACCTGGAGCAAGTGTGGAAGCAATGAAGTCTAACTGACTGAGTAGTTAAAGGAGAACTATGAGGTGAGTGATTTTCACTCAACCTCATAGTTCGAGCCGACGTGTGACAATTAAACTGTCCCACGTCGGCTCAATAGATCGGGAAGTGAGCGAACACATACCATCGCTCGCTCACTTCTCGATCCCGTCCCTGCAGAGAGCCGTGACTGTCACTCACGGCTCCCCGCAGGGATTCCCCCCTCCCTGCTACCATCCTCCAGCGCTGACTGGAGGAACGAACGGGGGAGGGGCGGGTACAGCTGGCTCTGCCTCTAGATAGGCAGAGCCAGCTGTCAATCACGCAGCTGGGTGGATCTCGACAGATCCGTCCCGGCTGCAGCGGTCTCATTATACCACGAGCTGTAACTCACTATATACTGAGCTTTGGGTCATGGAAGGACGTTAGTTTATGTCCTCCCGTGACCCTGAGGAGAACTATAGGGAAAAACACCCCATAGTTGTCCTTTAAGCAAAGATCAGGGTGATGCCCCCAGAGCCTGCACCTTTAAAAACAAAACATCTGTGGCAGCTTCCATATGTATATCCTCACAGTTTCACGTTAAGGTGACTCATGCCATTTCCCTTACTATCCTATCAAACAGTCTCTGTGCATAGAGGCTGTTATAAGCTCAAGATCCAACAGGAGAGATAGAGAAAATACAGATCTACAGGGTGAATGAAGTAGAAGCAGGGATATACATACAGTGCTGGTACCCAGGTACATATTCCTCTGCAGCAAGTATGCTGCATGGTAGTGACATCACAAATATCACTTCAGACCTCATACGGCTAGCAGTCTCAAGCAGCAGTGCCTCAGACACTGCATACAGCATATACGGCTATGAGATTGTAAGCACAGTAGTGTCTAAGCATCTTCACATACCAGGGAGTAAAGGGGAGGAATTCCAGACAAAAAAAGGTAATTTTGTCAGGGTACGTCTTAACATAACAAAATTGCTACAAAGTTTGCAAAGCTAAACAGTATATATGATCCATTCTTTCCCATAACCTTAGGATTTGGCACATGCCTGTTACAGTATGGTCTACATTCATTCTTTGGGTAAATAATTGAATTAACATGTTTAAGAAAACATACATAAAGTATTAGGTAACACAAATTATGTATAGAAGAGGTATCAGATTGTGGGTAGGGGAAAGGTTAGCAGAGGTTACAATAAATTTTACATATGGTTTATAGTCATAAATAAATACACAAACCATTATAAGCCTTTTATTAGACCAAAGTAAATAGTAATATTAAAAAGATTTAAAACAAGTGGTACAGTGGACCTATTTCTGAGCAAACTGCTGGAAAGCTGAGGAGGGCCTTGGGGCCATCAAAAAAATCATGTCAATTGGACTGAGTTGTATTTTCTATAATCCAGTGCCACCAGGGTCTTATTATACATTACATCTTTGCATGCCCACTCTGCCAATGGCAGGGCACAAGTACCGTATTTTTCCGTCTATAAGACGCCCCCATGTACACGAAGCCCCCAACTTTTCTTACCCAAAATTCAGAAATCAATATTTTAAATGATATTAAGCATCACTTTATTCAGCCGCTTTACCGGTATTTTTTCTGACATTTTTATGGTCACAGAATGCTCCGACATTACCGCTCTGGGCATTGTCTACACGCTCTCCCCAGCAACAGCTGACGTCAAGTACAAAAGATTTATGATTGGAGGAGAACTGTTATCTTTTCTCTGCAATTCGCTCTCCCCAGCAACAGCTGACGTCAGGTACAAAAGATTTATGATTGGAGGAGAACTGTTATCTTGTCTCTGCAATCCGAAGTTTCACTCGTGAGGCTAGTTTGCAGTGGTATCGGCAGTTTCAGCAGTTTCGAAAACCGCAGCCCCCGTGTATAAGACGCCCCTCTATTTTTAGGTAAGCATTTTTATGAAAAAGTAGCGTCTTATACATGGAAAAATACGGTATCCTTCTAATGTTGGGAGATTACTAGCATCAAGTAGGCAGTGTCTTAGAATTACTATTATTACTTTGGGCAAAGTCCCCAGGAGCACGGATAGAAGGGTTACCTTTAGGGAGGCCAGGGCAGTGGGAAAACATGTTTAATTTTAAGTTGTTAATACTTCATTCCAGAAGGGGATCAAAAGATCACAATTCTACTATATGTCTGCCTACATTGTCTGACAATGTCTACTTCACTATGGGATATTGAAGCATGAACTGAATTGTTGTCTGCCCTGAGTGCAAATTGCTGCATGAAATATATTCTTAGATCAAATTAAAAGGTGCCAAATAATGTCTGTTAAATATATATGCAAATGAGGCAAGACCAACAGATAGTAAAATTTTTCCAGACCAGGTACTGATACTGATACTTGCCAAGTACTCACAGATACAAGTACTGATACATTTTTGTTTATTGTCATGTGACAGTTTTTCTAAAACAATACTGACTAATGATTTCAGGACAGTGGTGGAGCGCCAGGGCCCAGTCACAGCTGCAACCTCTGTGACCCTGGTAGTTCTGATGAAAATACCAAGTATCGGTACTGGTATCTGAACGTGCCTACTTTTTTTGGATATGGAAATGCCCATGGCGTTGGGATAAGAATAAAGGAAATCTATAGGAAGAACCCTCAAGAAGGCAGAAAGTATTAAACTTTTGAGTTCCTAGTGAATTTGGTGCAGTAGCAGTCAGTGCAGTCCATACTAAGGGGGCTATTCATTGAGCTGCCAAAGCCAGCTGAGTGAATAACCGAGCCTAAGTGGAGGGAGCAGAACCCTTTGGGCTATTCACTTCAGCCGTGTATGGCTGTTTTCAGTCATACACCGGCTCCCTTCGGTTCAGCCGAACAGCGTGTTTGGCTGAACCGCAGAGAAGAACAAGTTCGCCTCAGCCGATCCAACATCTGGATGAGGCAAATGTTTGATAGTTCACTCTCTTCTGATTGCCCCTATTCTCATAGAGTGAGAATGGGGGGAGGCGCTCGCTCGTCCCCCCAACTTTCCTGTTTCGTGAATTAGTAAATTGTGAATAGCCCATACAGCAGCCCAGCAGTTCAACTGAAGGGTTCCTGCAGCCAAAGTGAGCCCGGAGGATTAGCCGAAGGCTTAACCCTTCAGCAGATTAGTGAATAGCTCCCTAAAATGTGTTGTAGCAATGTAGGTTGGTATTATATGTGTAACATTTAATAGTACAAGTGGTCTTCAGAATATGCAATGCTTGTAATATGTGGTATATAACTAACCAGACTTTGTAAAACACTCTGCTTTTTTAGGCTTTAATAAAGGACTTTGTGCACTATTGCCTTTTATTTTCTCTGTTATGAACTATATATTGTTTTGCAAATTAACAAATAATGTTTATCCAGCCAGAACGGTTATTATAATAGCCATTTTAGTGTGTCTATCATGTTTTTAACATATGATTTAATATCAGCAAGCTAAAACCAGTGCAGTCAGAGCAGTTGTCATGACCATACACTGTATTTCTAACCTCTGTTAATTTTTAATGTTTCTGTAGGCAAAGTGAGTCCCGTCCCCATTCTTGGCATTCAACCAAATTGCTGGAGAGCCAGCCCAACCCCAGCATGATGCAAATATCTCAGGGAACGTTAGGATCTCCATGGCACCAGGCTTATCACTCGAGGTGAGAAAACATGATGATCCCTAGTGTTGTAGAAAACAATTATCAGTGCTTGCTATTACTTAATGTTAAAAAATAAAATCATAATATTATAAGTACAAGTGTAATGGAAGTTTTGCAATCACAAAAAAGTAAAAAAAAAAAAAAAGTGAAAAAGACTGAAAAGTGAAAAGTAGGGTTGCACAGATACCAAGTACAGTACTCAGTACAAGTACGAGTACATGTACCGATACTTTTGAGCTCCAAGACTACACTAGAGAAAAATGCAAAAATTAGGAGGCAGCTGTCATTTGTAAGGAGCACACGGAGCTCCTGGGATTTGTACATCTATATTTTAATGTACGATTTTGTTTTTATAAATATAAATAAAGGGATGCACAGATACCAGTTTTGCGAGTACGAGTACTGGTACTTGCTGAGTACTTACAAGTACGAGTACTGATACATTTTTGTTTATGGTCATGTGACAGTTTTTCTAAAACAATACAGACTAATGATTTCAGGACAGTGGTGGAGTGCCAGAACCAGGTTCCAGCTGCAACCGCTGCAACCCTGGTAGTTCTCATGAAAATGCCAAGTATCTGCACTGGTACTCGAAAAGTATCTGTGCATCCCTAGTGAAAAGTATCAATTTTTGTCATTTAAAGTCACTATGGCGACACAGTTTACCTGCTGAATGTGTTTTACTTTTATTCTGGTATTCATCTGGTATGACTAGCTCTGCTCACCAGAGTCCTGTGATTTTTGGTGTCCTTATCTCATGAGTTGCCCAAAATCTGAGCCTAGCAAAAAACAGCCCAAGAGTTCCCTTATTCAGAGAACCAACTTCTATAGCTCTCTTTTCATAAGGATTTGTCACTTTCTGGTTTACAGCTAAGTTCAAATTAGTAATATGATGCACTTTGTTTCCTAATGGTGCTTTCTTAAATTTACACATGAAGACTAATCCAGAATCTTTCGCACTTGAAATTAAAACTGTGATTAGTGAAATAGAGGAAAGCCATTGTAGGCCTCCCCCTGAAAATTCTAGCTGCCTGGCTGTTATGCTAATTCACTTGCTTTAATATTTGGGTCACCAACCCATAACAGGTACACAGACTAGGAAAGTCAGTGAAAAGTGTTATCTGCAAATTTGGTTAATCAGTGATTAAAATAGATTGATTTACTTAAAGGATAGAGAATGTTTACTTAGCCAAGTGAATGTTCACTCTTAGTAAATAAATAGAAACTGTGTTCATTCTAATCAGCCAATAAAGTGCCTGCAAAAATCCTGTTTTTTTTTTTCTTCTCTCTCGGTCATGATTGGGCATTCAAAGTAAACAAAGGTTCACATCATTTAGTATACTTCACTTTGCTAAGTGAACATCCAGCATTCTTTTAGAAAATCAACACCAAAGTAGACCAAAACCAAATCAAAGCAAGAAGGTCAGTGTGATAACTAGGAAACTTGAATTTTCAGGAGAGGTCAGCAATAGCAGCATCCACATTTTTCTCAAGACAGGTTTACTTTAAGTGTGTTCCTGTAAAATCACTGTCATCTTGATACCCAAATGAGCAAGTGCATATCCTGTTCTTCACAAGACCTGATATATAATGTTCATACCATTTGACATACATTATATACATGACATTACATGACATACATAATAATCTGGAAAAATTCCTAGTTCTCTAGTTGCTTTATGAATTATGTTCTAAATGGGGGTAGTTGCATATGTCCTTCTATTAAAGAAATGTAAATATATAAAACCAATATCATATATAAATTAAAACTTAAGATAGGAAAGAAGCAACTTTAATCCCCGTAGTAAATATATAGATTGGATTTAAAACATTTATAATTTAGTGTAACAATGGCATTGTGGAATATACTCCTAGGATATATTTTGTAGAAATAGCTCTTTATGCAAAATAGTTTCCTTTGTGCACTTTATTAGCTTACTATGTCCTCAGTTATTTAGAAACATTCAGTGATCAGTACTGATCGCTGAGTGTTTGTGCTCTGCTTCCCATCCTGACTGCTCCGCCTATCACAGGAGCCGAGCCCTCCTTCCGCACTGCCCCGCTTGGCATCCTCACACTTGGCCTCTTGACAGCTTCTCTCCACCCCACTGGACCCTGGCAGCTGGATCAGCTAGGTATCCCCTCCAATCCTCGCTGCCTCTGCCGACACAGGCGGGGGAGAGCAGCGGGTATTGGAGGGGACACAGACCGGCACCCAGTGGGGTGGAGAAAAGCTAGGAGTTTTTGCCCATAGTGCCATTTTCGGCCGAAATGTTTTGGCGACCAAAATTTCCGTGCATCCCTAGTTACAATGTTTCCCTATGTACATGTGTTTACAGTTCAAATCAACCCTATAATAATATTCTTGGAAACCAATCAATGTAATTGTTATAATTAAGTTTAAGTATTTTGAGGTCATAAAATTGTGCTTAATTTACTGTGCAACATTGCAATGGGCAATCGGTGTGGGATTGGAGAGAATAAGGATTGTGAGGGTTTGAAAAGGGGCATGTTTTTATAATTAGGTCCCTACATTATAGTATTTCACAGTATAGTTATCAGTACATTCATGCCACATCAGAGCAGGTCTGTCTAATACGAATGAGTAGTGTACTGTATCAGGAAGTAAGAAGTATTAAAATTCCTTTTTAAACTCTTCAGATTATGGTGCTCTGCAGTTCAAAATAGTGAGCATCTTCTGACCTGTCTTATGCTGTCTTATGTGCAGGGCCGGATTTCCCACAAGGCCACCGAGGCCCCGCCTTGGGGTAGCAGGGAGTAGAGGGGCAGCACAGCCGCTGGGCGAGTAGTTTTTTTTCTACATTTAGCCCTGCTTCATGCAATTGAGGAATTATTTGTTAATAAGGCTTCCAATTAATGATGGCCTAATAGTAAGGCTTATAAGGCAGCTCAGGATTGGCAAATAGCAAGTGACCAAGAAGGCAGTTAGTAATTTGCATTTCAGATCAGCCTGGGGTCCCATGGGAAGTATGCAGGAACCTGGAGGTAGTCAACGGTTTTTTTTCCCCACACAGGTTTACTTCAAGTGACCTTATTAGCAATATATAAAGACAAGTAAGATCCATCTCCTGATGCCCATGCTGCTGAACACTGCTCTGATTAAGACTTGCCTGCTGAAGTCTGTGAAGAAGTCAACACTTTTTGGGGAGTCGATCACCTGTGTACTCCAAACCTTATACTGGTTCCTGCAGCCGATGCCCACATCAGTACTGTATCCTGTCTTCGCAGACTTCAGCCAGCATTTTTTCTTTATCACAGTGGTGTTTGGCACTGCAGACAGCAGGAGAGGTCCACCCTCTATTTTTATATACCATTCACCTATCTTTATATACTACTGACAGGGTCACTTTGAGACAATGCTATCTAGCTGGAAAAGGATGAGGAGTGTATGTCCCTCCTTTGATTATTCAGGTCTACATGTAGCACAGCAGCTGCTGAAACTTACTTGGAACTTCACCTGTTTGCAATGGGCAAATATGAAAATGTATATGCAATACTACAATAAATGTACTCATTTATTTAACACTGAACATAATATTTAAGCTAAAATCATAAATGCTATTATTTTTTGAGACTCAAGCAGGCTTTTAACCCAAATTTGTAATAAAAAAAGCTGCTCTATAGAGGACAAATAAGCACCATTCATTTTGCCACCCACATTGAGGATAAAGAAAAATTCAACCCACGCACATAGATTTATTTTTAAAACCTACGTGATTATAAAGTATTAAAAATGACAGAATGGTGTGCAAATAAAATGTGTCTACATATTAACAGCTTATTTGCATGCCTTTTGTATATGAAGTTCATTGTGTTTACAGCTTAATGCTGTACTGTCTAGGAATATTGCTTGAAAATGAAAGCGTTGTAACATAAGAGTAGAACAATAGATATGCAGAAATGTCAGTGTACGAGTGAGTGAGCAAATGCTACTCAGAAGACATGCAATGAAAGAGCCATGCCAGACATGTTACATCATTTTCAATCCTCCAAGGGTGAGGAGTTCAGCTTGGGATTTCCAAATGCTGTTACTGCTCATGAATTCACAGCACATTCTATACTGAAGGCAGAGAAAAACCTGTCTTGGATTTTAGTTGTAGCCAGCACCAGCGATTGAACAGAGGGGCTAAGATTTCCTTGGTTTGCATGCATTGAGGACCTCAAGACACACAGCGAAATTAAGGACTTCATAAGCCATACTAAGATAATATTTCCACAGATACAAGAGGGTTTTTCTTTTTCTGCCATGTTCTTCCAAGTATCTTATAGAACTGAATTCTCTAATCCAAATGCTGTGCCTTGCCTGGAAAAGGACAGATGATGTTTGGCTTGCAGGAGCAAGAGTAAGTGTGTTGAGGAAATGGGCAATTTGTGATGAAAGTTCTTAGTATAACTGATCAGTGAACTGAAAGGCAACCACTTCATTTTTACAGGTATAAGAAGTGGATGTGTCTTCTTAATAAATATATGCGACAAGCCTTTTAGCAAATATAGGAATGAGGAAAAAAGTGACTGACACAAACATTTTAAACAAGGCCTTTAGGATAATGAGCAAAGACTTTGTGAGTGCTAGTTCAGATACCAGTGCTGATACTTGGCATTTTCATGAGAACTACCAGGGTTGCAGCGTTTGCAGCTGTGACTGGGCCCTGGGTCTCCGCCACTGTTGGCCAGATTATTATGACCACCCCATCAGTACTTTGTTGGGCCACGAGATGACTCCACGAGATGACTTGGTTGGACCGCCTCGTGACTCCACGAGATGTTGAAAGGTGATGCGAGGAATCTGACACTGCACTGACATTATTATGTCAGGTGGTCATAATAATCTGGCCACTTTTTCTTTTGCTAAATACAAATCTTCTAGAGACTGAGGAGTGTATACACATTCATTTTTGGTATGAAACGAGCTAGTGAGCAGTTTGTATTGGGGCTATCTCTCTGTTGGGATGGATACTGGGAAGTGAAGTGTGTGTTCT